TAAAGAAATTCTACTCTTCTGGGCTGTGTTTTATTTTATTTTTTTTAAGGTGGCATATTAAGGAATCATGTTCATGAATGAAACAAGGATATCTCTTGCTTTTAAAAATGTGGGGAAGTTCAAGACAGGCTTCCTTTTCACCGGCAGAAGGTGTGGGCCATCTGACCGTAGCTGTATGATGACGGGGGAGGGGTCAGGATCCCAAAAGTATTGAACCATTGAAGCTCGAAATTCCCTTGTTGAGTGACTTTCAGGTTTCATGCTAGTAAGCTGATTTTGCTCAATGGAACTTGTTTCTCGAAAGATGCTAATGGAATCAGTGATTACCTGTCTTTTTTTTCCCTTAGCACACGACGATGCAATTTGGTCAGTTGCTTGGGGCAAAAATAGGAATGACGGCTCAGAGACCGTAATCTCAGGCTCTCTGGATGATTTGGTGAAAGTCTGGAAATGGTAAGTTCCAAGAGGTTTTCTAAAAATACTATATAGTTTCACAGGTGTGGAAACATATCCTTAAACAAGTAAGAGAAGTTTTCATATACGTTATCTTACCGTTCGTCCAGTTTGGGGGGAAAGCATGATTTGGGAGCTGGGGATGTGTCAAGAATGGAATTTCAGGAAGTACTGATAGGTGTACCACTTACTTTTCTTTAGGGAAAAAAAAATCTTTTTGTTTCTCAAAGGAACGAGGAAAAGCTGGACCTCAGGTGGACGTTAGAAGGTCATCAGCTGGGCGTTGTTTCAGTGGATATTAGCCACACTGGCACCATTGCTGCGTCCAGCTCGTTGGATGCTCACATACGTATTTGGGACTTGGACACTGGCAAACAGATCAAGTCAATCGACGCTGGGCCAGGTAACGTTCAACGCCTCTCTGGGCACTGAGCAAATGTTCTTTATTGTGGGGTACCCAATTTAATTAGTAGACTAAATATAACGGCTTTCTTTGTTATTACAGTGAATAACAGTGTTTTCTCAGTGTGCAGTGAAACAATAAGCCCAAATCCATAGCCCAGATCCGGTTAAAATTAATCATGGCTAATTGCTGCTGTGCTTACTGATTCCTGTTTGCTTCAGGCTGCATTATTTGCTTCATTGCCAGGCGTGTATGCAAATACTGCACTGAATAAATAAATTGGCTTGCTCAGTACTGGATATCTCACGTTTTGTCTTCCTTCCTTTTGCATAGTTGATGCTTGGTCCTTGGCTTTTTCACCTGATTCCCAGTACGTTGCAACTGGAAGCCACATAGGAAAAGTCAATATATTTGGCGTTGAGACTGGGAAAAAGGAATATTCCTTGGACACTCGAGGGAAATTCATCCTAAGTATTGCTTATGTAAGATACCTGATTTGTCTTTTAGCAC